GACTCCTCTAGGGTGAAGTAGAACAACATGGGGCTAGAGCAAACACCAAGTACTTTAGGCCACCAGGGCTCCACGGGCAAGGGAAACAGTAGGCCCGACAGCAGGAAACTGGCTAACAGGCCCCCTAAGTGGAACATGGACATAAGCAGGAACATGGACAGGTGAAATCTACCTAGAAGGATCATCCCCCTGGAAAAACATCAGGAGTCAGCAGCCTGAGCCAGCAGGGACTACAGAGGGTTGTACCCTATAGATGCATAAGGCCTTCCAGGCCTAGAGATGTCAAGGGTCCGAACTAAGCACACAGGAAGACCGAGGCAAGGAAATCCTGCCCAGGAGCAGGTACAGGGGCCACATTTGACATTACCCCATAGGCTAGTGGTCAGAGCCAGAGCCTCTCCCATGAAGGCCATCCCAGCAGCCCTCACCCATGCATCAGGCTCACATGGAGCCCACAAACTGCACGGTGGCACTTGGTGTATGCAGCCTGGGGAGCACCACGGAGGCCCTGGGCCCAGGGAGACGGCTCTAGGCCAAGCAGCAGGGAAAGACACTTTCTGCAATCTTAATTTCCTGAGAACACAGGTGTGAAGCAGAGTGCATGCTGGGACAGGAAGTAGGAGTGACAGTCCTAAGCAGGACCAAGCTTGATATTTGGACAGGAGCATCTGAGAGTTCATTAGAGCCAGCCTGGGACAGAGAGGGCCTACACCTGTCTCAGGAATTCACCTAGCATCCCTTATGACATGTTTAAGTGACATTCTGCTTCACGGATCACCAGCACCCTGCTCAGTGGGACCACCTTGGCGGCCACTGTGGATGGGTGCCAGCCCCAGGAGCCTATACAAAGGGAGGCACCGTGTTTGGGGCTCCAGGCCACGAGAGCTGCTTCTCTGGACCGTTTACTTCAGTTTCGTTGTTGTTGTTAATACAGGAGTTTAATGCCAAGATCTTCCCTCTCAAATCAAAATAATTCAGAAGGCGAAAAGCAGGCACACAGCCCACCTCCCACCCCATATGGGGCCATGCTCAGCAGGTGAGACAAGACGGGGAACAGGCCTCTGTGGGGGAGCAGCAGGCCCTGCCTGGAGGAGTAATGCCCTGCAGCCCTCCAGCACAGATTCAGCTGAGATTTCTGTGGCTAAGCAGCTGAGCAGACTCCACAGACACGCTGCAGCCCTGGGCGTGGCCACTGCTACCTCTCCTGCTACAGATGCAGGCTGGGGGAAGAGAGTCAAAACTTCTGGGGGCTTCCCTGAAGCATGTGCTGTGACAAAGAGCTGGGCAGGACCCAGAAGCTTCAACGTGGCTCCTCAACGTGGTTCTTGTGCTAGGGAACACCAAAGACACTAGGCCATCGCACGGGCTCACAGCAGAGGTATCCCCTTGAAGCCTGGACTTTTCAGCCATGGGAACAGCTTAGTAAAACTTTCAACTGAGAAATAAAAATTGCTAGAACCGAACGAAGCTAGTTCAGTGGTCTAGTGATTCATTATTTCACACAGGCCTTGGGTTTAACCTCCAGTACCACACACTAAATTTAAAACAAACAAACGAAATAAAAAAGAATAGGCCAGGCGATGGTGGCACATACCTTTGACCACAGCACTCTGGAGACAGAGGTACTCTGAGTTCGAGGCCAGCCTAAACTACGGAGTTCCAGAACAATCAGGGCTACACAGAGAAACCCTGTCTCAAAAAACCAAAACAAACAAAAACATTGAAGCAGAACACAAAACTGCATCTAATACCACAATGAAATACAAATGATTTAAATGAAAACCCAAGGTAGGAACTAAGAGGCTGGCTTTAGGCATATGAAACACCAGACCAAGGCAGGACACAAGGCCAGCTGTGATGTGGCTGAGGCCTGCCTGCAGGCTGTTGCTTCCTGTCATCTTCCACGAGCACAGTAAAATAAAAACAAAAGCCACTCAAAAGTATAGGGGTTAACTTCTTGAAATGAGAGGAAAAACAAAAACAAAACAAAAACTCCAGAGGGAATGGCCACAGCCCTTCAGTTAAAGGAAAAAGGCTCCTAACATAGGCAGCTGTGATGTGAGGTGGAGACGGAGTGATTTCTGCTCTTCTGTTCAGAAATGCCACCTGGTTTTGTAATAGACGCACAGGTAAGAAACCCCTCAGGCGTCACGGGCTGGCTCGGGAAGATCCCACTCTCCGGGGACAGTCTCTCAGATCCTCTCTGCCACCTGCCTGGCTCCCAAGCACTGCCGACGCGGAAACTACTCAGCGAGCCCACTTCTGGAGAAGGCGGCAGTCCGTGATCCCTCCCTGGCCGACCTCTCCTACACCTTCAACCCAGCCTGGCCCACCCCAACGAGGCCTCAGGCAGCGTGGCAGGGGGAGCACAGGACACTCAACACACTGTGCTGCAAATCAAATTCTTCTAGTGTTCATGCCTTGACAACATTTGGGACACACATTAGGGCATGGTTATTTTTCTGCTATATGTGCTGAGAGAAAGGGGGGGGATTTTCCAAGCTAGGTCCCCACCAGCACTCCCTCAGGACAAGGCAGACTTCCCAGAGGATCAAATCCCAGACGACAAAAACAGACTGAAGCCAGGCCTGCTCAGAGAGCCAGTGTGTCCTCTCTCATCTGGGGGCTTGAGAATCTGGCAAGCAGCGACTGAGGCAGGAAGCCAACAGCCAACACCCCGAGTACCATCACAAGGCCCTGCTGGGACTCCCGGGGTGGCACTGGAGCTCCTTCTATAGGTGCTGACCCTCCTCCTGCCATGGACACCCTCAGGGCTCACTCCTGGCAGCACAGCTGGCGCCCCAGCCTGTGCATGGCAGCCAAAGTACACACAGGATCGTACACACCTATCGCTGCTCCTTAGCCACACGCGTACCTGCCTGGCGTGGAAGCTCAGGGTCCGGCCACCCACCCTTATGGGACCTCAGACAGGCCACAGGACAGAGGATGAACACAGAGATGGATGCCTATCCATACCATGGGGAAACTGAGGCAGTTAGAACTGAGTCAGAGTCCAGGTCTTCCTCATCAGTCTGCTAGGGCCTTGGCTGAAGCTCCCTGCCAGGATTACTCTGCCAGGCAGGCATGGGAATTGGAAGATTGGCATAAGCCCCTGGGCCGAGGACCACAGTGGCCTGCAGCCCACCTTCCTCACTCTGACCACCTCTCCCTATCTGAGTCAGATGCAGGAGCCCAGCTCTCCAACTCTCTTGCTACTCATTCATTTCTTCAGACATGGCATGCCATCATGGGCCAGAAACCACAGCAAGGAAGAAATGTGACCCGGTGGCCAGGGACTAGGATAATGGGAGCCTTTCACAGGTGAAGGAGAACCTTCCAGAATGAGGGAACTAGAGGTAGAGTCTAAAAAAGGAGCAGCCCAATCAGCAGGATCCATGGGCCTCATGCTGAACAGGAAGGGGGTCTGAAGGCAAAAAATGGTCCATGGGGCACAGCAAGGGGCAGCATCTGGGAGAGGGCCACCAGGGGAGCCTCTGCCCCAGAAGGCAGGCCAGTATGCCTGGAGGACCCAGTGCTCTGGCCCACTTCCTCTGGGACTGGCCAGCCGAAGCTTCCATGAGGACCAGCCCCTCCTCACAGGGCCCCAACACTCCAGGCTGTGCCCTGTGGCAGGACCTGGCAGGAAGCAAAGGTGTGAGGCCAGGAATTCCCTGAGAGGGCAGACAGAGCCCAGGATGACCTATCCAGGTGGACAGCTGTACCACTGTGCCCAAGACCACAGACCTGGGCAGCCTGGGTCCTGCTGGTGTGAGATGGAAAGAAATATCCTGAGCACTCAGGGGTCAGGGTCATATGGGGTAGTGGTAACGGGTACTTCTGGGTGGTCTCCCACTCCATCACACTCTCACAGCAGAGCCCAATTTTGCTAGTGGGGGAAGATTAACAACAGAGACCCATCCACATTTAGGCTGTGACCCCACGGAGGGTCTGGAAGTCCAGAGAGAGAGCAGAAGGCTATGGGAAGCGATGGCTGTAAGGGTCGGCATGGACTGAAGGTGTGCAAGGCCGTCCCAGAGTGTCCCCATCACACACACACAAATGGGGTAAGGGCTTCCTAGGGACCAGCAGCAGGGGGACCGGCCGCAGCAGCCAGGCCCCTACGACTCCCGTTCAGTGGGGACCTCTGCCCTCCCGAAGGCTAGCAGTAAAGTGCCTCCGTGCTAGGGTGAGCAGCAGGCTGAGAAAAGTTTGGGGGTGACTCAGACCTGCACTTGGGATGAAGGTCCCCTGCTGTAGCCAACCCTCCCCCTCCCAGGAATCCCTGGCTAAGGAAAGCCCCTCGGCCGCCACGCTCGAGGGGCTCGTAGACCGGCTTGCGGTCCCTGCAACAGGACTCCCGATGCCCGCGCACCTAGCCCGCCCCGCGTGGCCCCTGAGGAGACCGCTCGCCCCCCAGGCCCCCCAAACTCCTGCTCGCGGGACGGTAGCCAGAGCTCCGGAGGCACGTGCTCCGGCTCGGGGACTCCGGCCCGGGACCCAGGCCCAGGCCTCGCGCCGCCGGGCCCGAGGGCCACCGGGATGCCCGGGCCACTCGCCGCTCCTCCGCCCGCGTCGCGCGGGCCGCCCCCCGGCCCCCAACAGGTGGGCATCGCCCCCTCCCGGCGCCGCGGCGCCCCCCGTCGCGCGCGCGCCCCGGCCCCGGCGGCCCAGGGGCCATTTTGGGCCGGGACGAGCACCGGAGACCAGAACCGAGCCTCGCGGGCGGGGCGCGAGCGCGACGGGGGCGGGCCGGGGGGGAGGGGCGCGGGCCGCGCGCGAGGGCGGCGTGGGGGAGGCGCGGAGGCCGCGGCGGGGCCGGGAGGCGCGGGCGGCGGGCCCGCGGCGCATAAAGGCCGTGGCGGGGCCTTACCTCCGACCCTGTACATGTTGGCGGCCATGTCCGGGCCGGCGGCGGGGCCGCGGGGCGCGGGGCGAGGGCGCGGGCGGCGGGCCGGGCGCGGGCCGGGGCGGGGGCGGGCGCGGGGGCGCCGGCGGGCGGTTTAAAGGGACCGCGCTGCTCCGCCGCCGCCGCCGCCGCCGCCTCCGAGGCCGCCGAGGCCGCGCAGGGACGGGAGGGCCGCGGCGCGGGCGGGAGAGGAAGAGGAGGAGCGGCCGCGGGCGGCGGGGAGGGGCCTCGGGCGCCGCCGCCCACCGCGCGGGCCGTTACCCGACCCCGCGCCGAGCCGGCCCGCGCGCCCCTGGCCGAGTGGTCCTTCTGAGCTCGCCTGGTCCTCGGCCTCCCCGGATAGCCCTCCCACGACCCCTCCCGCCTGGCTCTCCGCATCCCGGGGTTGCCCTCTGGAGCCCCACGCCCGCCCGGCCCTGGCATCTCCGGGTGGCCCTCCCGCATCCTCTCCTGAGTGGTCCTCAGCATCCCCGCGTGGCTCTCCCACCTGGCCCTCAGCATCCCGGGGAGGCCTTCCAGGTACTCTTCTGGGAGGTGCTTCGAAACCTCCGCTTGAGTAGCCCTTGGCATCCCCAGGTGGTCCTCCGGAGGCCCAAGCCCTGCATCCCCGGGAAGCACTCCTGCAGCCCTTCCAGAGTGGACCTAGGCATCACCGATGGTCTCCTGAGACCCCTCCGGAGTGGTACTTGGCATTCTCCGTTATCTCTAAGGCTCATGAATCCTGCACCTCAGCACTCATTGAGTGGTCCTCCTGAGCCCCATGCCCACCTAGTCTTCGACATCCCCCAGGTGGCCCTCACCATACCTGGGTGACCTGTCGAGGTGGGCCCTCCTAGGACTCCCTGGGAGTTTCAAAGTGCCCTTGGGTCCTTCTTGTGTGAGCCCTTCCCTGCACCCCTCATAGGGATACTCTCCAAATCCTGTAGACGTCCTGAGTGTGCCCCTTGTCTTCCAGACTCCTTGGTCATCCTTGAGCATCATAACTGCCCTCCCATGAGGCAGGCATGTTCCTCAACTGCCAATGCCTTGGTGGAGCTCCCTTCTCCCTTCAATTCCCTCCCAAGGGCCCCAGCTGAAGCTGGGCTCACATAAGCCTCCAGCCACAGACATTCCTCCACCCCCAACCTCACCCCCATACCAGGGCTGCAAGTACTGAGACGAGTCCTCTGTGGAGGAAGCCACCTCTTTGTAGCATCCAGAAGCATCCTTTGTGCTCATCTAAGGTCTGTGGAGAATTACCCAAGGGCAGAAGATAAAAGGTGGTGTCCCTGATGGAACCCTGTCTCTGCCATAGGTGGGGAGGTGAGGTGAGGAAGAGCTGATTCTGGTTGAGTCGGCGCACTGTGGGCTACTTTGACAGAGAAAGTCAATGGCTGCCGAAAGTCAGTGTCCTGTCTGAGTTCATCCTTACGAAGTGGGGAGCACAGTAAATGGAGCTCAGGAAAGCACTGTAAGCCACTTTGTGAGGTTTAGACAGTAAGGGGGTCGGGCTGATACACTGTACATTACTAGGCAAGAAATCTGCATGACACTTGGACCCAAGCTAGGAAGAGTCTCAAGGCCTATGCCACCTCCTTGTGTGCTGAGCGACCACCACTGAAAAGCAGCAGACACAGGTCAGGAACTAGAGCTGAGCAAACCTGCTGAGAAGGGCGGGGGACGGGACGGACACAGATGACCCAGGTGCTGGCATTCTGTTGGATGGTCGTTGGCCAGAAGGTTAGAGAGAAAGGGGATACAGGAGAACAGATAGTAAGCAGGCAGTCTTCCCATGTGGGGAAAGTGTGAGGGCTGGTCTCCCACGGCCCACCTCTAGTGTGCACGGCATAAGACCTCTTTTTACCTGACAGATTGACCAACAGAACGACCAACTGGGCCTGGCGTGGTAGCACATGGCTTTGATCAAAGCACTCAAGAGACAAGTAGGCAGATCTCTGTAAATTCAAAGCCAGCCTAATCTACATAATGAATTCCAGGACAGCCAGGTCTATATAGACCCTGTCTCAAAAAAAAAAAAAAAAAAAAACACCCAGGCAGTGGTGGCACACACCTTTAATCCCAGCACTTGGGAGGCAGAGGCAGATGGATCTCTGAGTTCAAGGCCAGCCTGGTCTACAGAGCAAGATCCAGGACAGTAGGGCTACACAGAGAAACCCTGTCTTGAAACAAACAAAAAAACCACCAAACAAGCAAACAACCCCCCCAAAAAAACCCCAACAACAACTGCCGAGTGGTGGTGGCAGTGTATGCCTTTAATTCCAGCACTGGGGAGGCAGAGGCAGCAAAGCTCTGAGTTCAAGGCCAGTCTGGTCCAGGGCTACACAGAGAAACCCTGTCTCGAAAAACCAAAAAAAAAAAAAAAGAAAAAAGAAAAACAATAAACTACAAATGAAAAAGTCAGGTGGTGGTGGTGGTGGCGGCGGCGGCGGCGGCGGCGGCGGCGGCGGCGGCGGCGCACGCACACCTTTGATTCTATCGCTGGGAGGCGGAGGCAGGTGGATCTCTGGGTACAAGGCCAGCCTGGTCTACAGAGCAAGTTCTAGGATAGCCAGGGCTACACAGAGAAACCCTCTCTGAAAAAACAAAACAAAACCCACAAAACTACCAAATATCCATGCAGTGGTGAGGACAGGACACAGAATTGGCAAACTCTGTGGCATCTCCGTTTGCCTCCACTCCAGAGGTAGATAACACAGTAACCGTCCAGCCTCAGCTGCAGGTCTCAATCCTTTTCCTTGAGGAGAGAAGGTAAGAGCAACCAGGGCTGACTCCTGAAGGAGACTCTGAATTCCAAGCTGGTACTCTCCAGAGCTAAGGACATTCCCTCGGAGTGGAGTGCTATGAACCTCAGAAGGCAGTTCAACTCACTGCCTCCTTTCCACAGGCTAGAGAAGGTAACTGCCTAGCTCAGAGGCCAGCAGAAGAGCTCAGTGGCAAAAGGGACCGAGAAGAATGAATCCACTTGGTAGCAGAGCCACTAGACAGGAGAGTTGCTTGTGCAGCTTGGAATGCTGGTTTAGGAAGCAGCAAGGTGACCACATGAAGTAATTTGTTAGGAATACCTTTCACAAGGGAGGCGCAGGGCAGGTGGAAATCCAGCAGAAAAGAAAGTGAATAGAAAGGCCAGAAGAATCCATCACAGGAGTGCTTTGCCTTCTAGATCTTAGCGATGTGGAGGCAACGGGAGGCAGCGATGCTTGTTGACGGAGAAAAACAAGGGGAGACTTAGTGCCAGGGGATGCCTTATGTGTCACAGCCCACCTCAGAGGCAAACTGTTGGACTAGTAAGAGGAGTAAGGTTTCACGGCACTCCAGGAGACAGAACTATGGAAGCTGTCAATGGAGCCCATTCAGCTTATTTTCTGAGCACCTCTTTCATGCTACCAAACAATGTCAGACACTAGAGGGTCACATGGTCTCTGCCTTGGGGAGTTTATCACATAGCAGGAGTGGGGGGAGTAGCAGTAGGTAATGCCATGTGGTAAGTGGTCTCAAGACAATGGAGGCACCATTATCCCATGAGAGGGCAGGGAAAGAGGTCCTGTGCAGGTGAGCAGAGGTCCAGAGATGGGGACATGGGGCCACATCCCATTTTAGGACTTTCTAGTGCTGTGGGATTTGGGTTTTGCCTCCGGGTGCTCTGGTGACCTGAGCTGACCTGTTGGAAGCAATGCCTGAAGCCGCTGTGTGGTGAAGGACGGGAGAAGAAGCCCAGCTTATGGCACCTAGTCCTAGAGGCAAGAAATCAAAAGTGTTCAGAGTTAAGCTGCAAGAAAGTCCTCCTGAAGCCTGTGTGGGAGAGACCCATGGCATGCTCCAGCACATGAATGCAGCACAAGTCATCTGAGGTCTGTCTTATGTGTTATTGAACTTTAAAGATTACCGAAACCACTTTTCAGAAAAAGAATATCAACGATGAGGACAAAAAACAAAACAAACAAGGAGCACTGGGTGTGGTGGCGCACACCTTTAACCCCAGCACTGGGGGGCAGAGGCGGGCAGACGTCTGTGAGTTGAGGCCAGCCTGGTCTACAGAGTGAGTTCTGGGACAGCCAGTGCTATGTACAGAGACTCTGTCTCAAACCTCCCTCCTCCCCCAAAAAGGAACAAACAGCATTCCTCCCTCCACGGTCTTAGCTGAGCCATAGAGTGACCTGGCCTGAGCCTGCTGGACAGGCTGTGTTTGCTGGAGATGGAGACCTGGAGTGACAGGGCTTCCCAAGCCTTCTGGAACCCAGAGGACTATGAGTGAGTCCCAGATGGTAGATCTTCACATTGCTTGATTTTGGTTTTACTTTAATATGGTTATACCTGTGCCCTGGTTCTTCCCTATTGGAATAAGAAAGTATTTAACTTATTTTATTACAGGAACCCACAATTAAGAAACTTTGGAATTTTAAAGGGAACTTTGACTTTAAAGTGTTGAAATTTTTAAAAATTGTGAGACTTTCAAAGTTATACTGTATTATTAATATGATCTTGAGGACAAACGAGAAAGATTATGTTTTGTGTTGTGTTTATGTGTCAACTTAACAAGGGGTCAATTATGGGTATTTTGTTGTTGTTGTTGTTGTTTTCAACTGGACCCACACTAGAGTCCTCTGAGAAGAGCCTCCATTGAGGAATTGCTCCATCACATTAGCCTGTGAGCATGTCATTAATGACTGATGTGGGGGGGCCCAGCCCACTGTGGGTAGGGCTACCCTGGAAGGTTGTCCTGGGTTGTACAAGAGAACAAGCCGAGCCAGCCATAAATAGCAAGCTAGTAACTGCAGCATTCCACTATAGTCTGTCCTTCAGCTCCTGCCTCCAGGTTCCTGCTTTGAGTTCCTGCCCTGGCTTTCTTTGATAATGGACTATAAGCTAAAATAAACCCTTTCCTCCTTCCTCCTCCCCCACAAAAATTGATTGACCTTTTTTTTTTCCCTAGCAGCACTCAAAGCTTAGAGAAACAGTTCTTAAGAAGAAAATACAACCCACAGTTTTTTTATCCAGACAGATTTTCTTGCATATATAAAGCCCTCAAGAAAACATTTCAAACATACAAGAACAGGAAAAAGTTCTTTAAAAACTCAAGTGGCCAAAAGTGGACAGGGGAAAGACCAGGAGGGTCTCCACCCTACACAAAGAACTAAAGGCAACTACAGAATGCTGAGAGTGAGATAGACTCTTCCCCAGGGAGGAGCACACCATTTGGTAATCCAGTACCAGTGGTCAGCCCTGAAAGCATCGATCTAAGTCACAGTGTTCAGACTGAGCAGGCTATACTTAGAAATACGCATGTGTATGTGCACACATGTACATGCGTGCAACAACAATCAGTGCAAGAAGAGGCCATGAATTTGAGAGAAAGCAGAGCAGGATATGGGAGGAAAGGGGAGGAGGAAATGATGTAAGGATAATATCAAAAAGAAAAAAAACTGGCAAGGTTTGGTGACACACAGCTGTAATCCCAGCACTTGAGAGCTCGAGTTAGGACAGAAGACAAGCTACATCTTTTAAGGCCAGCCTTGGTTACATGAGACCCTATCTAAAAGAAACCAGTTAAAAATAAGAACTTAGCCGGGCAGTGATGGCACATATCTTTGACCCCAGCACTCAGGAAGGAAGATGCAGGTGGATCTCTGTGAGTTCAAGGCCAGCCTGGTCTACAGAGCAAGATCCAGGACATCCAGGGCTACAAAGAGAAACCCTGTGCAGGACAGATGGCTCAGCACTTGCTGCTCTTGCAGGAGACTGTGGCACAGTTCCCAGCACCCATGTGGTTGTCTACAACTGTCTGTGACTCCAGTTTATAGGGATCTGATGCTCCCTTCTGGCTGCCTTGGGCACTTCATGAATGCATACATGAAGGCACTGTACACATAGTATAAAATAAAACTGGGCTGGAGAGATGGCTCAGCGGTTAAGTGCACTGACTGCTCTTCCAGAGGACCTGAGTTCAATTCCCAGCAACCACATGGTGGCTCACAACCATCTGTATTGAGATCTGGTGCCCCTCTTCTGGCCTGCAGGCATACACGTAGGCAGAATACTGTGTACACAATAAATAAATAAATCTTTAAAAAAAAAAAAGAAAGAAAACTTTGAAACTGACCTTAATTTCAGCTAATTATAAAATATAAAACAAATAATGCAAATGGCCCAAGTTCTGGAGGTAAGCTGATTACAGAAGAGCAGAACAAGGGCTGGGGAGCTGGAATGGAAGGTAAATGTAATTGGTCTTGCTTGCATGAATTGACTGAGCAGGGAAGGCCCATGGCACTCAACACCAAACAAAAAAAAAAAAAAACAGTGCATTGAAAAATAAGCAGTACTTATCCCTTACTGCAGTTATAATTTCTAAAAATAACAATTTCCTGAGACAGGGTCTTACTATATACTCCAGGCTAGCCTCACATTTACATCAATCTTCCTGCTGCCCTAACTGCTTGGGTTATAGGCATGCACCACCACATCTGGCATTTTACCATCTTTCATTGGGTTTTTCCAGTTTAAATAGTTTTACCTTGTTTCTCTTTAGTGTAATTTTTTAAAATGTGTAAGCAGAAGCTCTGTGCTTCAGAATTCCCATCATTTCATCCCCTCAGATGCCCCAGAAATAGCTGGGATAACCTCTACCTGATGTCAACAGCCCCCACTTTAGCAATCAAACTGCTTTAAAAAAATACTCGGTTAATTTTGAGCAAGTGTCTTTTACAAATCCAGTGAAGTAATCTCTTATGTAGTGGCATGCAAAGACAGCTGCGAGCCACATCTCCTAAGTGTCCCAGCAGCCCAGCACTGCAAAAGTCGGCTGCTGGAGGCTTTTTCTGTTACAGGGGTCCAGAGTGTACGGGCTGGTTTTGTTGTCAACTTTGTGAGTCACCAGAGAGGAAGAAGTCTCAATTAAGGAAATGCCTCCATGAGATCCAGCTGTAAGGCATTTTCTCAATAATTGATCAGTGAGGGAGGGCCCATTCCATTGGGGGTGATGCCATCCTTGGGCTGGTGGCCCTGGGTTCTACAAGAAAGCAGGCTAAATGAGCCATGGGGAGCAAGCCAGTCAGCAGCACTCCTCCATGGCCTCTGCCTCCAGGTTCCTGCCCTGTCTGAGTTTCTGTCCTTGACTTCCTTCAGTGATGAACGGCAATGTGGAAGTGTAAGCCAAATAAACCTTTTTCCTCCCCAACTTGTTTTTGGTCATGGTGTTTCATCACAGCAATAGAAACCGAGACACTGAGTATCCTCTGCAACCCATTCAGAGCCAGAGTATCAAACTGGGACAGGTGCTGAGTGTCCAGTGAGATCCCGCGGCTGTGGCTAGCACAAGAAAACTTGAGCCTGCCCTGTTGCGGGAGGGATCTCCCAACCTGACCTGCTTCCCTTTGACTAAGGTGCTAGGGACCCTTCCCCCAAGACTTTTCTGCTCCTTCTAAGATGAACCAACCTGTCTGAACCCCTACTCACCCCAGTCTCCTCAGAGCTCCCCACCTCTTATACCCTTCTCTGTCCCAAGTTTCTCCCAGTAGACATCCTGAACATGGGACCAGGTCATGTGTTTGTGGGGAGCTGTCCTATACACCTTAGTAGCACCTAGCCCTCTGCCCCTAGAGGCCAACACCACCCTGGAGAAGGTGCCATGCTCCCCTCCCAAAAGGGGGATCCTGTGAACATGCTGATGGAGCTAAGGAAATCAAGTTCACTAAGTCTGACCTTAAAACTGAGAGGTTTTTCCAGGTCATCTGGGTGGGCCCAGAGTCGTCTTAAGGGTCCTTAACCATAGGAGCTGAAAGGGGAGGGAAGAGGGGTGAACCCAGAGCCAGCACTGCAGTCTGACTTACCCCCGGGAGCTGGGGAAGGTGAGCCGCAGCTCCCTGGAGCCTCAGGAGGAACACATCTCTGCCTACATCTTCATCCTAGCGTAGTGAGACCCTCTGTGGATGGCTGCAGAACTTAATGAGCCTGTGTTCTCTTACAACACTAAACGCGTGATAATTAGTTGCAGTAGCCACTGGAAACTATGCACCGCCCCAGAATTGGGGCCACAGTGCTCTCACTGGTGCTGCTAGCAATTCCAGCACCAAGCTCCATTCCCTGATGAATCCACTGGCTTTGCAGCCACATTAACTGTCACTAGTGGCCGGTGGGTGGGAGCCAGCTCTGGGCCTCAGCCCTGATACTCTAAATGATTTGACTTGTGTTGTTGTGACGGGGAAGATCTAAGAGGAGCTGACCATCTCAGTATCCTTCTGGCTGCAGACTCAGGAGGAGCAGCCCTGTCAACCCTCAGCCATGAGAGAACATGAAGTAATAGGGCATCCTTTAAAGCCACTCAGAGCTGAATGCATGTAGCTCAAGGCACGTGTGTGGTGACCTTTGACTTCAGCTCACATGAACAGGACTCTATATCTTCTTGCCCAGGCCAGGACTTAGCCCACTGCATGCTGTGCTCTTAAGTCACCTTCAAACCCCGAGGAGGTGGAAGGGTCATGATGTGCCCCACGGCCCTGTCCAGACTATCCCTGCCCTAGTCCTTGTGGCACCATGCCCTGCCTTCCCTTTACCCTTGGTATCCTGAAAAATGTAGAGGAGAGGCCTCCTAGGATGGACAAAAATTACATCAAGGGACAACTGGGAAGGGGTGCCCAGTAGGATGATGCAGGCAGACTTCCTGGAGGAGGAGGGATTTCACTGAGTTAGGAAGGGAGGGCAGAGAAGTCAAGTCAGCAGCTAGGGACCCAGGGTCGGGCATGGGTAAATCTGTGTTTCAGCAATGGACTCTGGGCAAGGGCAGCTGGTGCTGCACTACCAAGCTGGCTGGTTCCCTCAAGGTCCAATACACAGTTCTGACCCATGCCTGCACTTGAACCTAGTCTATCACTTCCTCTTGACTCAAAATCCCCTGCGCCCAGCCTCACTCACACAGGGGCCCAGGCCACCACTACCAGTCTCTAAGTCTGCGGTGCCCCCCATAACCACTGACAAACTGGAGTTACCACACTTTTCCTGCCTCTCCTCCAGCTTGATGTCCCCCAAATGTGTCTTGCGTTACCACCCCAGTCCCGAGCCCTCTACAGGGCCCCCAACCTCAAGACAAAGTGAGACATAACCGAAGACCCCTTATGTTACCCCAAACCTACTGTACAGTGCACGCTGCCTTCCTAGCCCTTTCCAACTTCAAGTTCACTGTCTGGAATCATCAGTTACCTGAAAACCTACCTATGTCTAGAACCTCACTAGGTCCCTATCCCTGAGCTGTCCCCACCAAAGTCTTATCCTAGGTCACACGTCCCATTTGGGCCTTGAAGCTAGATCCCATGGGTTCCAAATGGTTCATGACATGAAAACCCCACTGGAGGAACTGGACGTGGCAGGGATCTCACCACCTCCTCAGGCAGCTGCTCAGTAACAGGGCTAGCAAAGCAGTGGGTCATGTGCCAGGGTCTGTGAGGCAATCTAGGCCTCCTCAGAGGCCCATAAGTGCTGGTCACTATTATGCCCCACAGAGCAGGGGCTCTTTTGGAAAGCCACCCCTGACTCTCCTTTCCATGGCTCTCCCACAGTTCCCAACCAGGTTCCCAGGAGGGGCAGCTCTCCTGAGTCCTGAGAACTTTGTCCTTACCTGTTTGTCCTCTGTGGGTGGGTCATGCCCACAGTGGGACACAAAGAGGGTACGTGGGGTACAGAAGTCATGCTCCACCACAAAGAAAGGCACTGGACAACATACACTGGGCTAATCAGGGGTCCTTCTTAGGAGAAAGGTGACCTCGAGGTCTGGGCCTCAAAATTCTCGTTCTGCCAGAGGGGAGTGCTCTGGGCCAAGAAGTCCTAGAAGGCATTGGGGTACATGGTAGGTTCTAGTGGGTAGGGTAGGAGTACATCCCTGTCCACACCCTCGGGTATCAGCTGGGCCACCATCTGCACAATATCCTGCGAGGGATCAACCGTGGTTTCGGGGACCTGGGTGGGAGAGGTTGGGGCAGGCCCGGTCAGTGGGGAGGGTACAGTCTGCAGGCCCAGCTTGTCTCTAGATAGGGCTCTGGCTGTGTTTGTCCTGTTCTGCGTACGCAGCATGGCCAGATGCCTACGCTCTTCGATGCTGACACTCCAGCGGCTACCTGGGCTCCTGCGCTTGGGAGGCTCAGACACCTGTGGGGACAGAGTGCACGGTCACCTGCAGACTCGGGTCCCCATAGCTATATGGCAAGCACTTTACCGAGATCTGTCCCCAGCCCCTATTGGTTTGTTTTTGAGACAGGGTCTCACTACGAACCCCAGGTTGGTCCGACTCCCTCACTCTGCTTCAGGAAGCACCCCGGGGGCGGGGGGGAAGGCAGTGCCCTGACACATAGCCCTGTGCACAACACTCTCACACCAGCATACCTGAGCACTTCACGTGAGGTGTTCATGTGTACCGTTATATCTGTCCCCGGACTGTGCAGGAACTATAGTGGTGCTGGCAAAGTACTCCAAGGTGGAGGGTGGGGCTGGGCCAGAGGCATAACAAAGCTGGCCTGTTGTGTGCCCCCAAAAAGTTGGGTCTCAAAGATCAACCCCAGGCATCCTTCCTCCCTAAGAGGAGTATAAAGTGATCCTAAAGACTGGGTTTGGTTACCAAAACCAAAAAAAAAAAAAAAAAAGTGTTGACTTACAAGAAAGCTTGCGTCGGCTTGTAGGTAAAGCCCACGTATAACAGCTACAGGATGCCCCTCCGTAGGCAAATGGTCTGTGGAAGTCCCTCCAGACTGCCCATTTAGGAGACACACCTAGCTACCTTCTGGATAGAGGGCTAACAGTAGGGATGAGGCCATTCCAAGTGAAGGACCTCCTTACTCAAAAAATCCAGAAAGAATTAATGCACAATGACATGATGGTTCCATTTCTGGATACAGACCCAGAAGAAAGCAAAGCCTGGATGTGCATACCCACATCCACAGCAGCTTCAGTCACTTCCAAAACACGGAAGCAATCGCGTGCTGTGGAGGGGTGGACTCACCCAGACAATGGAGCAATCGTGAGGGCAATTGGGGCATCGGGCTCAGCAGTAAGTGCATTCTGCTCTTGCAGAGGACCTGGGCCCAGTTCCTAGCACTCACATTAGGCAGCTCACAACTACCTGTAACGCCAATTGAAAAGAGCTCTGACACCCTCGGCTTCTGTGGGCACTTGCGTGCACATGGTGCACGTAAATTCACATGTATATACATACACATGAATTTTTAAAAATTAAAAATTTTTTTAAATTTAAATTTAAAAATTTAAAAAAAAAAATAGCCGGGCGGTGGTGGCGCATGCCTTTAATCCCAGCACTCGGGAGGCAGAGCCAGGAGGATCTCTGTGAGTTCGAGGCCAGCCTGGGCTACCAAGTGAGTCCCAGGAAAGGCGCAAAGCTACACAGAGAAACCCTGTCTCGAAAAACCAAAAAAAAAAAAAAAAAAAAAAAAAAAAAAAAAATTAAAAAAAAAAATGGCACATGCTGTTGTGTGGGTGAATGTGAACCCAGAGGGCACTGCTCGGTGAAACAGCAGCCGCCAAAGCACATGTTCCGCAATTGCTATGATCCTGCTGGTCTAGGAACTGTCCAACTCAAACTCACTGAGACAGAAAGTGGAGTGGTGCCTCCGGGGACTGGAGACGGAAAGGGAGTTGCTTCATGGAGGTAATACAGGTTCTGAGAGTGGAAAAGCCCGGAGAGCTGTTTCACAACAATGAGAATATACTCAGCAAAAGGCCGGGCAGGCTCCGTGATAGAACACATACTGAGCATGGGCATGACCTTGGGTCCATCACTAGAACCCACGCCAACACACACACACACACACACACACACACACACACACACACACACAAAGTGGCCTTGATGGCAAAAATATGAGGGGGAGAAAAAGTGAACATTTGACTCCAAGACATGTACTGGGAGAAGATACAGAGAAACACAGGAGACGACGACGGTCTACAAGCCAAGAAGGACCCCTGCAGGTCCTCATGCAGCCCGCAGAAGCCAGGCTTCGGGATTTGTGTTCCACCAAATCCACAGGCCGAGGCCTCCCCTTCACAGTGCTGGAGCAGGAGGAAGGCTTCAGGGGAAGGGTTAGGGCCTTAGCTCATCAGAAAGGGACCCACAGAGCCCACTCATGCCCCACGCATTAAAACACAGGGAAGGCATCTTCTGTGAACCAAGAAGTGGGCTCTCTCCAGACCTGAATCTGTGAGAGGCTTGGCCTTGACCTGCCAGCCTCTAGAATTGAGAGGTATCATTTTCATACTGCCTAAGCTACAGCTGTTTGCTCTGGCAACCCCCAAAGGAGAACACCACCGCTTCTGATTCCTTCTCATCGGAGACCTCTGGTTTCAGAAGCGTAAGGCAACACATTCCTGTTGTTTAACTGGGGGGGGGGGGGGGGTGCGGGCGGTGGAAGTCCACAGACCCTCATCCCATCCTGCAGCCTAGCTTACTCTGTTTCCCCTAGCCCAGTCCAGAGAAGTTCTTTTCTGTTGAAAAGCAGAGGCCTGTAGCCACTGAAAGCCAGATGCCTGCCTGACCACGCCACAGCAAAGTCATCTGCTACCAAAGGCCATCTGAATACCTACACACACAAAGTCACCAGTGTCACAAGCCTAAGGAGAAGAGCAGGACAGAGCCACTAGCTAGCTGAGAAACAAGAGAGAGATCCCAGGTCTGTACTATCACTGTGGCTTTTGGATGTAGGATACAGCTATGGATGAAACCAGAGCAGAAGCAGGTGGAAAGGGGCCATCCAGAGGACAAGAACAACCTTGGACATGGAAAGTGTGACTTGGCAAGATGGATACTCAGTGGGAGGCTGGTCAAGAGCTGTTCCTACTCTTTTTTTTTTTTTTTTTTTAAGATTTATTTATTTATTATGTATACAGCATGTATAACTGCAGGCCAGAAGAGGGCACCAGATCTTGTTACAGATGGTTGTGAGCCACCATGTGGTTGCTGGGAATTGAACTCAGGACCTCTGGAAGAGCAGTCAGTGCTCTTAACCTCTGAGCCATTGCTCCAGCCCCAGCTGTTCCTACTCTTAACCCACTTTGTGTGGCGGGACTGCACACCTCTCTTGCAGCACTGTGCGGTCACAGTACTTCTTGCTGGAGTAGCTTCTGCTCTGCTGATGACACTGGCTGGAGGCATATGCACTCTACATGTGACACATAGACACGAGGCCACATGCCATGCCCCTTGTGTTTATGCAGCAACCTCAAGAAAGCCAGGAACAGAAGACCTTTGAGAGTGAGAGGCACACACAGGACAACCAACCTAGTCACTTCTGACCAAGAAATGGGAAAATGTAAGTTCAGAATTCATTTGGAGATACTCGTTACACAGCATCACTACCACAAGACTAACTAACATAGGATTGAAAGCAAAGCACCACTGCAAAGATATACCTAGGGAGCCACAAGAAAGCCAGAGAATCATTCCTGTTGGATCAACTTGCAATGGATAAAACAAGAAAGAGAAAACAAAGACACATACACATGAACATGCACACATTCTGTCCCCAGAGATGGAGGAGGCAGCCTTAGCAGAATATATTATGCTGACATTTCAGAACACTGGCAAGAGGGGAAAAGATCTTAAAATTTTTTGAAAATGAAGCTGGAGAGATGGCTCAGTGGTTAAGAGCACTTCCGTTCAGTTCCCAGTACCCACACAGTGGCTCACCACTGTCAACTCCAGTTCCAGCAGATCCAAAGTTTTCTTCCGGCCTCCACAGGCACCAGGCACGCACCTGGTGTGCAGACATATATGCAAGCAAAAACATTCATACATATAAAATATGTAAGTCTTAAAAAAAAAAACTCTCAAAGACAAAAATGGCACAGGGGTGGTGCTACATACAGATGCCTAGCAACGCACAGAAAAACCAGAGCATGCACGGGGTAGCAGAAGCCTCCATGGTCTATGGCTTTACACAGTCGCACTGGAAGCTGATAGGGAGAGGTCTTAAAAGGCCTGAAAATTTTCTCTCCTAGAGTTTTTACCTAACCAAAGTGCTGTACAAGTATGCAAAGTCATTTCCACACCTTTGGGTCTCTAAAGCCCCCCACAAAACGTCAACATCCTCTGAATCCTTGTGAATGAAGTGGCTAGATGGTATGCTCTGGGAGTAAACAGAGAAAGAGAAAAACCAAGGGCCAAGGAAACAAGGAATCCTGAGATAGACAAGGAAGGCCTGCATGGGGCCCTGAGGACAGCAGACCAGAGGGAACAGGAAACCCAGGACAACCACTACCCAGGAGAGAATGGAGCTTTCAGATGATCTGACGTACCTCTCAGTACCTAGAGCCATAGATGTGGCTCATAGAAGGTTCTGTAAAGGATAGTTAATCTAACTATTATCTCCGAGGAAAAACAAAAGGCTGAACAAGAAAAGCAGCAGCAGTGGGCTGGAGAGACGGCTCAGCTGTGGTTAACAGCACTTGTTGCTCTTGCAGAGGACCCAGGATTGATTCCTGGCACCCACACGGTGGCTCACGACCATCCGCAACCCCAGTTCCAGGGATCCGACAGGCACACATGCAGTGCACACACATCACGCTAGCAAAACGGTCATATACATAAAGTAAAAGAAATCTGAAGGAGGAGGAGGAAGGAGGAGGAGGCCGGGCATGCTGGCGCACACCTGTAATCCCAGCACTCAGGAAGCAGACGCTAATGGATCTCTGTGCATTTGAGGCCAGCCTGGTCTACAGAATGAATTTCAGGACAGCCAGGGCTGTTACACAGAGAAATCTTGTCTTGAAAAACCAAATAAATATTTTTTTTTTAAAGAAGAAAAGGAACATTATCGTGTCCACACCTTAGCTGTGGCGACACTGACACTGTCATCCTATAGCTGGACACTGGAGCCAAGCATGCCAGTGCATGCTTGCAACCCCAGCATATGGGACACAGACAAGAGGATCTCTCTGAGTGCCAGGCCAGCTAGGGCTGCCTAGTGAGACCTTGTCTCGGGGGAAAAAAAATCCAACTAATGCTGGAAGCAGATCTAAGAAGCCCGATTGAGGCTGAGGGCAGGGCACTGTGGGTAAAGTGCTAGCCACAGCATATGAGGGCCTGAGGTCAGAGCCCCAACATGGAGGTAAACACCAGGTTCAGCAGTAGCTGGAAAGATGGA